GAAAGATCTGGTAGACACTGGAGTTGTGGTACACTATTCCACTATAAAGAGATACTTGTACAAATATGGTCTTCATGGAAGAGTCATCAGAAGAAAACCTCTTCTACGTCCTCACCACAAAAATCATCGTTTGAACTTTGCAAATGAACATATAGACAAGCCTGATGCATTTTGGAAACCCGTTCTGTGGACCGATGAGGTTAAAATTGAACTTTTTGGCCGGAATGAGCAAAGGTACAATTGGAGAAGAAGGGGCACAGAATTTAATGAAAAGAACCTCTGTCCAACTGTTAAGCATGGGGTTGGATCAATCATGCTTTGGGGTTGTGTTGCTGGCAGTGGCACAGGGAACATCTCACGAGTAGAAGGAAAAATGGATTCAATAAAATTTCAGCAAATTTTGGATGGTAACTTGATGCCATCTGTGAAAAAGCTGAAGTTAAAGAGAGGATGGCTTCTACAAATGGATAATGATCCTAAACACACCTCGAAATCCACGGGGGATTACATCAAGAGGCGTAAACTGAAGGTTTTGCCATGGACTTCACAATCTCCTGACCTCAACATAATTGAAAATCTATGGATAGACCTGAAAAGAGCAGTGCGTGACAGACAGCCCAGAAATCTCAAAGAACTGGAAGACTTTTGTAAGGAAGAATGGGCAAAGATACCTCAAACAAGAATTGAAAGACTCTTGGCTGGCTACAAAAAGCATTTACAAGCTGTGATACTTGCCAAAGGGGGCAGTACAAGATATTAACTCTGCAGGGTGCCCAAACTTTTGCAGACGCCATTTTTTTGTTTTCTGTTATTTTGAAAGTGTAAATGATGGAAATAAAATCTAACTTTTGTTGACATATTATAAGAATGTCTAATCTGTAATTTGATGCCTTTTGTAGATTTTTCCATCTTTCCTTGGCTTCTTTATGCACATTAATACAAATTTTTTAGCTGGGGTGCCCAAACTTTCGATCCCCACTGTATATGGTTTTATAAACCTATATTTTGGACTGTTTTACTTGCCAAGGGATTTGTATTTTTGATCACCTGTTTTTAAGATTTACACATCCTTGGGTCGGTTCACACCACAGAAACCCAGTCCGGATACTTTCTAGATGAGTTTTTGCTGCACCCAGATGTGTTTCTTGGGGGCGGGGTTGTACTGTTCTGGAACTGACCACGCTGGTGTGAACTAGGTCATTGGAACCCATGTAGCTCCTGAAGATTTTACCCCCTTCATGACCGGGGCATTTTTTGCTATTTGGCACGGTTCTAATTTAACTGACATTTTAATTGCCATTTTTCCACACAAATTGAGCTTTCTTTTGATGGTATCTGATCAACACTGGGCATTTTATTTTTATTATAGTAATGTTTTTTACTTTCTGCTATAGAACATTTAAAAAAAAAAATAAAAAAAAAATAAAATTTCTTTATAAATTTAGGCCAAAATGTACCCTGCTTTAAGTCTTTGGTAAAAAAAAAAAAAAAAATCCCAATAGGTATATATTGGTTTGTGTGAAAGTGTCTATCTACAATTGATGGTGTTTATATATATATATATATATATATATATATATATATATATATATAATATATCTATATTAGAATGTATATTTAATTTATTTTACACTACTAATGCCGGTGACCAATGACTTATAGAGGGACTGTGATAGTGCAGCGGGCAAACTGACACTGAGTGGATACTGACTACTCACCAGTGACGCTAATACTATACAATGTCACTACTAATCAAAGGGTTAACTCTGTGCCTAACAATGTGTAGTGTGTGCTGATTTTACTAATAGATGTTTGTTCTCCCTGCTTTGCAGGAGAGAAAAAACAGGCACGTCACTGCTCCTATGTACAGAGCCATGTGTTAGTAAACACAGGACCCTGAACTGTCATTTGCTAAGCTGATCAGCAGGTCCCGGCCATAAATCAAATGCTGGGATCTGCTGACCGACTTGTCCTGTAACGAAGGCCAGCACAGATCGAGTGGTGGACATGCTCCCCCTACCCGGAAATGTGGGGCTTCTCTGCTGCAGTAAAACTGGGATCGGGGGTCCACAACTGGATAATCTACTGTCCATGTGTTTTTTTCATGCAGCAAATTAAAAAAAACACACGACTGCACCTGTTGTGAACCAGCCCTTAAAATGGTAAATGGTTGAGTTCAGTTCTCAAATGCACATTTTTCAGTACATACATATAAGCATTTCATGAATCTGTCCGTATATTTAAAACAAACTGGCCAGTTATGTTGTTTCCAGCTTTCAAAGTGCAGGTTACGTGATCACTGTTCTTGTCAGACTGATTCACAGACCTACAGGTGGGCCTGCACAGAGCACTACATCATTGCAGGAAGTGACGTTTGCTGACGCGTGTCCTCATTTCCAAGGTGACTGCGGACTTACATCACTTCCTGAGTGCGTGCAGTAACCCTCCCTTAGATGGTGAAGGTACAGTGGGATGCTAGGGAGCCGCCATCAATCAAAGGAGGGATGGGGACACGTGGTCTTACGCTGACCATGGAAGACAGAGGCACGCGGAAACATTATCTGACAGAGGAATGACAGAGAACGTAAACTGACACGCTAGCAGCCGTGCTTAACGTAGTCAGTTTACTACCAGGAAAGAAGGAAACGGCAGGATCAACCAGGTAATAGAGAAACACTGCAGGCACAAAAGAACTATTTAAAAAGCCCATAGGAACCCCTTACTGAGACAGAAAAATGTTTTATTGTATTTAAACACTGTGGGAAGTGTTAATTGCCATAATTCATTCACATAAATCATATATATCCTACCACTGTATTTTTTTTTTTTTCTAATCCTCTAAGTACCTCATTCTCCCAGCACTGTTGTCACATGATCCTTTCCTGTTCTTTGGCATTTACAGGGAAGATGCTTGGGAGGGGCTTCTTTTACTCTACTGATGAATGCTATCTTCAGTTTGAGACTGAGTGTGCACAGCCTTGATTGGTGCTGTGCCGGTCACATTTATTTATTTTTATTTATTTCAGGTAGTTATATAGCGCCGTCAATTTATGCAGCGCTTTACACATATATAGTTTACATTCACATCAGTCCCCAACCCTCAAGGGGTGTACAATCTAAGGTCCCTAACTTACATTCATACACATATTAGGGCCAATTTAGACAGGAGCCAATTAACCTATTAGCATGACTAAAGTTTCAGAAGAGCAATTCAGATTAAATTTATAAATATCGGAAACTGTTTTACAGAATCAAAACCACATCAAATGTGTATTTTTTGTTAATTAATATGGTGTAGGGGGAGTCAGAGGATTGACACTAGCTTTCTTCTTTTTTTGTTTTGTTTTTTTTTTTACTTTATAGGCATTCACAATTACATTTCATATTGTTTAAAACTGAATAATATTAACACCTCAGCCTTTTTGTGAGTTTCTTTATGAGTGTAATCAATCGGCATACCTCAGTATATCCCACCGCCATATTGTTTAACAATAGGGGCACATGGAAGAAGAGGAGAGTGAGGAGTGTCATTTAGCACTGTGTATATGCCCACATGTGACTCTGTAGTCATGTGGACTGCACAGATAAGAACAAGCAGGTAATGAAGAGCTTAGAGGGGACCTGAAACTGGAGCATGTTCAGTAGATGGCAACAGCTGGTCTACATAATCTCAGGTTGCAGTGGGGATACAGAGAAGATGGGAGGGACAGCTGAAGGCAGGATCAAACAGGTATATTTCACTGTGCACAAAGCGAATGCTTTAGTGGTTTTGTGAGTATGCCCACTCTGTTATATAACATATATTGAGATCATTTGATAGTTTGGTTTAAATGATAATCTAAAGTGCACCTGTACCCAGACTATGGACATTAGGAGTCCATTTTCTCCATAATTTATTTTGTATTGCATTAAAACTGAACAGAATTTGTAATGTAATTCACTACAAAAAATGTTGTGTGTTATGGTGTACTGCAATGCATGTACATTGCCTTAGTGCAGTGTTTCTCAACTCCAGTCCTCATGGACCCCCAACAGGTCATGTTTTCAGGATTTCCCTCAGATGAAACAGCTGTGGTAATTACTAAGGCAGTGAAACTGATCAAATCACCTGTGCAAAATAATGGAAATCCTGAAAACATGACCTGTTGGGGGTCCATGAGGACTGGAGTTGAGAAACACTGCCTTAGTGCATCAGGGTACCATTTAAAATGATTAGCACTGCAACTCATCAGTGCATGAACCATATATTGTAGTTGCACATGTGTTACTGCAGCACAAAGATATAAATGGGCTCTATAGTATTTACATATTCATAACAAACAACAAAAAAGTGCTCTAAAACAAGCAATTCTTGACCTCCCTAACTGCAGGTACTTTGAAGGAATACATTTTTAGAGATAACAAAGTTGCCTGTAAAGTTCATTTAATTTTTTTCTTTTTTTTTCTGCAATAAGTAATAGTAAAAGCTACGAATTCATTGACTCTGTTGTGAACTTTGAAAATGAATTTATCCACAGCTCCTAAAAGGGCTCATTTACACAGCTGGGGGTGGTAAATTAGGCAGTTGTGTTTTCACTGCTACACCATTACCCCACCCTACCCCAACACACCCCATCCCAACACACACACTTGAGCTGACAGTGGTATACATTTGCACATAATTAGCACACAATGCACTTGCATTCTTTTAACACATCACAATGCACAGGCATGCAGTATCTCTGCTTAGTCATGTAGTGCCTTGGAAAAAAAATGGTGCTGGTGCAGTAAAACCCAGTTTTGTGGTGCATTGGCAATGCGGTAACACACTAGAAGTGTCTGAATGTGGCCTAAAAGGGACTGCTGTGACCTGCATTGTACTGCAGGGTTCCTGAATTCTGCAAATATCTGTCCAGTTTTGTGATGAGGTACCCTGAAGATGGAGGCTGTGATGAAAAATCTAGCATTTATTCTATTTCAATATAATTTTTAATGCAATCTCTTCTTTTTATGTGTTGCAGGTAGTGCACTTAAAAGTGGTAACACCAAGAGGCATTGTGGAAAAAAGCTGCCAGGGGCCAAGAATGTCCACGGGGCCGGATATATACCATTTCATTATGGGGTCTGAAGGTATGAAAATGTGTTTTATTAGAAACCGATATTGAAGTTTTATCCTAATCTGCTATCCAGAAAGTAATGAAAGATAAAGACACAAGAGCAAGCTAACACCAGGATTATGTAAAACTGTAATTGGCACAGAACTGAATGATTGATTTTAAAGCTGGAACCAGGCAAATGGTGAAATACATAGAAAACCTTTTTATATATACAATCTGTTTTACCCACTACAGCATTTGTATTTCATTTTATCCAGTTCTGAGTTTTGCAGAAGACATGATTTCTATCTGCTGCAGTTCAGTAACATATAGGTCTTGTCCATTCCCCAGCCTGCGACTGGACAATATTAGGTGAGGAAGGTATTGTCAAGGTCCTACCTTTTCCCAGAGGTTATGTTACTCCATGTGCTGGCATCCATCTTGGATTTCTGCAGAGCATGGTGGGAATCCTTTATGCCTTCAGGTCTCTGAGGTCCATCCCCCAGAGGGGTGTGGCTGATTACATATAAGCCTGTGGTCCGCGCATGCTCTTTGCACTTGTGTCTTGGTGTTGCTATAACTCTGTTCTGACTCTCGTGACTCTCCTGGAATCTGACTCGGCTTGTGACTCGACCATTCTTTGTATTCTCCTTTGATCTGACTCTCCGTTGCTGAACCCGGCCCGTGACCTGTGATTCTCGTCTGCTGTCCTGTACCGTTTTGTCCCGTTGTTGTCGACCCGGCCCGGCCGACTACTCTATTGTCCTTTCCACCAGCTACACGCCATTGGCGGCGGCCATTACCGCAACTGGGGTGTCTGGGGGGGCCGCGACCTGGTTCCTGGCTGCGTCAAGTCCATCACCACCATCAGGGGCCCTGGTGAAGGGCAGCCTGGGACTTAGACTCCGCGCCCTGAGGGACTTCGGTCTGTGGGTGGTGGTTGTCGTCAGTCAGTGCGTTACATTGTTAATAGGCCTGCCTGTCCATTCCAGCGTTCCTGTCCTGACAGGTATATTATGATTCCTATTTACTTGGTTTAAACTTTTTTTTATTTTATTTTTTTTACATATCTTCTGTTGCTTCCTGGTTTCTGGCCTAGGCCAAAATGATCTCTTGCATCCCAGGAGTTTTCAGGGGCATTTTTTTCTTTTCTACGGGAGGAGGGGCTTTCTCAGCTTGGCACACCCTCCTGCCCAGATGCCTAAGCTACAGGCAAATGGATTAAAGAAAGTAAATGCTACATGAATCGTCTGCCCTGGCCACAGGTAGAACTGCTAAGTAGGTGTTTTTCAAAATAATTTCTAAACAAAATAAAGCACGGAGACACAGCTGGATGGATATGTTTTCTTTGGTTACTAAAACTGAATTAAATTATGTTTTCAATTTGTGGTGCTCAGATACGGTTAGGTTTCGCCTTAATAAAGAATAAAAGTTGCTATAGCCAGGAGTGACAAAAAAATATATAAAGGAATGCACTAAATACCAAATCACATGAAAATGCAGATAAATACATAAATAAAATAGAAAATATATTTATAGATGTCCGTAATTCATATAGAAGTCCAAACGCCAATATAAGTGAATAAAAAATCTCTTAAACAAGAAAAAACACCGTGTGTAGCAAAATCCACCACCGAATGAAATGGGTAAAAACTCACCAGAGCTATTTGCTGAACAAATTATAAATCAGCAAAAATAGCAATTGCTCTGGGAGCGATGATCTGTTGGAGTATCCTGATTGCAATAGACTGCAATCAGCCAAATCAGCACACATGGAACAGCCTTAACTGCAAATGGTCATCATAACTTTGGAATTGCTCGGGGATTCAAAGAAGAGTATCATGGTGCAGTATAATAAAACAAAGATAATTTTTATTGTAGCCTTAAATATGCACTCACAAGAAAGGTGTCCAACTGACACCAGCAATATCCGTCTCAAAAAGCTAAAGCAGGGACGAGCCTCGCTCACCGCGATCACAGCTGACAGTCTCGAGGAGCGTCCTACGCGTTTCGTCATCCGATGTCTTCAAGGGGCGGCATGGATGACAGACGTTGAATACCAACACACATATATATATAGATAGATAGCCAGGAGTGCGGTGATTCAATTCCTTTTCTGATCAACTACATACTAAATTGAAATATGCATATAGTAAACTGTTCCACCACTAAGGCCTTACCACAGTGGTTGGCAAGAAAGGTGACTCGACTATTTCCTAATGCATTGTAGTGAACCAGAACCAGCACCTACTGCCCCAGGTCTGTGCCGTGACAGTGTGACTCCTGTGTGCATGTGCAGGAGTGACTTCATCGCAGCCTGTCGCTGGAGGGCTTCTTTGGCAGGTAAGTTTGCCATAATGTACTAATATGCTGTGCATAATAGCACATTATGGCATAACCGACCTGTTGCCCCCAATCCGCCCCACAAAAAAAAAACCTGCATCCTTTACTGCCACTTAAATGGCTAAAGACCCTTGTGGAAATATTTCCATTACAATAGTCTAGAGCGGGCTATACGTATACAGATTTTTTCATTTCTCCTGCAGACTGAAGGAAAAAAAAATAAGATTCCTCCATCTATGTCATACAGCGCATATTACATTACATTACATTACATTGAGTTTATATAGCGCCAAAGGGTTTGCTCAGCGCTGTACAATAGAGGGGGGGACAATACATGAAACATTACAGCAGCTTCGAACAGCACACGAGGGGTAAGAGGGCCCTACTCTTTCGAGGGCATATGGATGAATCGCTGCAGCTATTGTGTTATGATAGCTGGCTCAAATATCTGATTAGATGCAGCCGCTGTTCAACCAACAATTTTCTACCTGGCTCTTGTGATTTATCAGTCGAGGGATGTCAGGCAGGAGGCATCAGATAGGACCACCCACTGAGCGAATTTTGGTCGGTTCATCAGAAACCGGATGAAATTTTGCACTGTGTATTACCAGATCAACCTTGGTTTGAATTATTTTTCTGCAGCTTTTCTAAGAATGATGAATTCCTAGGCTGTTGCTTGTTTACACTTTAAGGAAACGTAGATGTTCTGCAGTTTTATTACATTATCTCTTTTCCCTTAGAGGAGGACGAATCAGGTCATACCAATAATTGTGATAGATAGCAAAAGAGGCTTTTTGAGGTGATGAATTAAAAGAAGGAAAAAAAAAAAAAAAAGCGACCAAACCCAAGCAGTCCTATAACTGAACTTGTTATACTTTTTTTTTTTTTTTTGTAAGAATGCAGAGCGTTTAGATTTATAGCACTGACAGTTATATTGCAGTATAATACAATTACATCAGTTGTATATCTTACAGCGTAGTTATAATGTTCACAGCCCTTTAAATCCTCCTTACAGTTATGGTGGCATTTATTGCCCATTGACCTTGTGGATAACATTTAATAATGTCACCATAACCTTTTAACCCCGCAGCTTCACTGCTTTTTAAAATGTTCATTTTGCGCCTTAGCTGAAAAAACGCTCTGCTTTTTTTTCTCTATAGGGTTCTTAGCGTATGTATTTGTGGATGTATATATCAAATTAATTTGCATTCTGCAGCACATTCATCATTGTGAATTCTACCGGTAATATACTCTTCCATGGGAAATTTGTTGTATATAAATTGTACACAGCACTCAATAAAGTTGACTGTTATTGTGATAATTTTTAATTTGTCTCTTTATAACTGCTCTCGAGTGATACCAAGACAGGCAGTTGAGAAGCAGATCTAATTTACAGGAAATGAGATTGTGCTGAGATTTAAGATGCAAGTTCAGGATTTTGTTCTGTGGGAAGTTGGAGGAATGACAATCATTTAAGATGCAGTCACACTTGTACGTTGCGGTAACACGTACATTTTAACAAGCTTTTCCTAATGCATGAGTATTGTGTGTTGTGGTGTGCTAACATTCATTGTCAATTGCATCCCAGTGCATATATACAAAATGAAAAAAAAAAAAGCACCTGCATTATATCATACCACAATGGGCACATAACTCTGTGCTTTGTATTGTTCTGTTGCATTTTTTGATGCGTTGAGGTGCCTTGACAAAAAAAGCACATGTTAAAGGATAAGTTCACTTTTAGCAAGTCACATGTTACATTCATATTTAGGGTGTAGCATACTCCTGTGCATCCTCCATCAGCGCCCCTCTCTCTGTGACAGCAGGTGGAGAAATCCTCTCCCCACACCTGCTGTCACAATTTGAAAACCATACAGCCATGCGGTGCTCTGCCCACACAGCCACGTCATTCATTCACAGTTTCCTGTGAATGAATAGACTACAAATACCATTAGCCCTTGTGGCTGATCGTTTGTAGCTGTCAGTGAACTGTGAGGTTGCTGGTGAGCACTCTCGTAGTTCATTGGTTCTTCCTGCCTTTCAGTAACTGCCTGCCTGTACAGGACGTACAGGCAGACAGTGTACAGAGAGTCTGCAGGATCCTGGCATTGCATCCCTGAAGTGCTGATTGCGGGTGCAATGCTTTACAGACTGCAATGTAAAAAAAAGTAATAAATGCATATTTTTTAACCTGAAAAATGATGGGCATTTGTTGTGGTGTGTGTTTTTTTTTTTTTTAATTTACTTTACAAAAGGTGAACTTAACCTTTATCATACTTCAAAAGTATGAATGGGCTCCTAGATCTAGTGGCATATGTGGTCCAGAATGTCATTGATGGGTACAAACTGAATCTTTGCATAAACGGGCAGATCTCAGAAAAAGTAGCACAATATCTGCCTTGTCTGCACTTGAACTGACGCAACATCAGGCTTTGCGCAGTCTTTGGCAGTGCACATGTGCTAAAAGGTTCATTTCCTTTTCTCCTTGGGAAAGGGCCAAGTCAGTACAGAGATTTTTTTTCAGTGTTCTGGCAAATCTCAGCCTGCAGTAATTAGCTATTGTTTAACAGAAGATCGTCCCTGTCAGGCCAGCATAAGGTTTGTGCACACTTGAGCTGAGCATCCTGGTTACTTTTTTTTTTTTGCATGAGTTTCATGCTTAAGGGTTCTATAATTATTATTTTTAGCCAATAGAAAGCTATTTATACGGAAAGAATAGAAACCAAAAAAATTAGTGTTTCACTCATTTTTCGTGTGCTCCCATTGAAGTCTGTTGGGGCCAGCACACATGACTCTACGCCAAAAGAAGCTCATGTACTTTTTTGAGCAGTAAACTTTAAATGACAGTACACTCAGGTGTGAAAGAGTACAATTGAATACAATGTAATACTTTTTGTTGAGTTTTGAAGCATTTCTGGTGATGTTTCAAATCGTGCTTCAGATTACTTGGGTGTGAACTGGGTCTAAAGCTAAAGTTGTAGATCAGTATATACTCTGAGCACCACAAACAAAAAACACTGTTTAACATATTTTTAATATGCAAGGCAAACACATCCATATGTGTCTCCATGCTTTATTTTGCTAAAAAATTACTTTGAAGGACACCACCTAGCATATCTGGCCGTGACCATCTTCGGCAGGGGCAGATTATTCATGCAGCATTTACTTCCTCACATTCTTCTGCCCTTTAGCTCAGCCATGCATGCAGGCAGGTGTGCTGAGAAACCTCTCCTCCCCTCCTGAATACAGCTGGGATGTATGACATCATTGTCCTGGAAACCAGAACATAACTTAAAAAATGTAAAAAAAAAAAAAAAAAATAAAAACAAGTAAATGATATACTTTCCCATCTATTTACTAATGCTAGCATCAAAAGAAGTAAAAATAGTAAATTTTGATTGAGAGAGTAAAGTTCTGCCTTAACATGTGGCTGAGGAAATACATTAAATGTTTTGCATAGGATTTAAAGGAGAAGTACAGCCAAAGCTCTTTTGGCTGTACGTCTCCTTTGGATCACAGGAGTTCAGTTCGTTCTGCATTCCTGTGACTCATTTTCAGCCGACAGTGGGCTGAAGCCTGCTGTCGGGTGACGTCACTTAGCCTGTCCAAGCTGGAGAAAGATTCCGACTTCAAAGTCAGGATAAACCCCAGAGTTGGGAGCAGCGGCACCTGGCTCAGCCTCTCAGAAAAGTGGTGAGTGCTGGAGCCAGCCACTCCCTCCCCCTCCACAGCCTAGCACTCAAGTGAGCATTGGGGGGGGCAGAGAAGACAGCGGTCACTGACAGTCACCGCTGTATGCTCAGAGTGGCTGTGAGAAATCAGCGATCATGTGATCGCTGAGTTCTCACCCTTAGAGCCAGCGGGGGACAGATGCAGCATCGGACCGTTGCTGCATCCACCTATGTAAGTATAAATGGGGAGAACGAAAAAGGACATACTTCTCTTTTAAGTATGGATGGGGAGAACAAAGCATAACATGGCATCAGCAATCAACCTTCATAAAATGGGGGTTTCCACTTTTGATGGGGTGTCAAGTGTTTGATCCCCTACTAAGTTGTTGAAGATCTGTGGACCTCAGAGGATGAGCTCTCCCCACTACCACTGTGGCAATGACAGATCAAGCTAGGGGGGTAATTGCTGTGTGATTCAGATGAACATTTCTAACTATAAATAATGTTACCGGTATGTATAAAATACTGTATGTTTACATTTTTTTTATTTTTTTTAACAGGAACACTTGGAGTAGTTACAGAAGTCACAATAAAAATCAGGCCTCTTCCAGAATATCAGAAGTATGGATCAGTGGTCTTTCCAAATTTTGAGCAAGGTGTGGCCTGTTTGAGAGAAGTTGCAAGACAGGTGAGCTTGCCTATGATATTTGCATGAAGATGGCTTTGAATTTAAAATTAGAAAAAGAACAATGCAAAAATGTATTTTCTTGACCATGCTTCACTTTCCCATTTTTGTGATCATCATTTGGGTTCACTATACTTTATATTTTTGCGATTATTTTTTATGTTTTTTTTAAAAAACAGTGCGGTTATGCGGGGCTTCACCTGGACAGCTGCATCATTTATTCACAGGAATCTGAGAATGAGAGCCCTACTAATCTCATCTGCCACTGCAGCAGGCAGCTTGTTCTCCATGAACTGCAAGGGCACTTTTTTGAACACATGACATACATGTATACTCTTTTTTTTTTTTTTTTTTTTTTTTTTTTTTTTTTTGCTAATTTTAAAGCTGCAATCACACAAATAGGTTCGTTTTTTTTTTAAAGGCAAAAGGTGGGGTTTTTTTTTCTAATCCTAATGCATTCTCTGCTTTAAGGTAAAAAAAAAACCTTTCAATGTCTGTGCCTTTCCCCTTCCCAGTCATCTCTAAACACTTCCTGGAGTCCTCTCTCAATCCAACTCTCTGTCTTCCTGCATTCACAGGAGAGACTGGCAGCAACCCGAGCCATTGGCTTCTGCTGCTGCCTTTTATATCCTATGAGGAAGGAGCAGAGGGCATATCAAAGCCATGCTGCATGTGTCTATGGAAGCACACAGTGTGGCTAAGGAGCACGCCCGCGTGAGTGCCCCCTGGGTTCACAGCTTGCTGAGGGAGCACTCAGAAAAGGAGTTGCCAAGAGCATCTTAAGGATACTCCAGAAGAGGAGGTAATAAACTGCTCTGTGCAAAACCATTGCGTGGAGCAGGTCAGTATAACCTGTTTATTTTTTTTAATTAAAAAAACGGTTTACAATCACTTTAAAGCTGAAGTTTAGTTACCATTTTTTTCCCCTCTACATTACTTGCCTGCATTGAAGGATGTCCCACAATGTGCAGGCTGCTGGATTCTGTATAAATCTTCACTGCAGGGCTGCTCTGTCTTCTTCCTGCTGCTGAATTTCTAGTGCTTTGAGGGTGCTGCACTAATGATAATCTGATGAAAACACACCCCCTCCTACGCTCTCCTTTGAGAAGTGGTCATACATTGGTTACACTGCTTGTAACACCTTCTGTGAATGGGGGCGAGAATCCTGTGACTGATCAGACTCTCCGATACTCACATATCTGGGTATATGCAGTGTAATCAGCGAATATTTTTCTCAGTGGAGAAGAGGGCAAGAGGGGGTATGTCTAAAGATCATCTTTAGTGCATCTTAAGAGACCCGAAGCTGTTAACCCTCTAAGCACTGGATGCTCATCCACAGGAAGAGGACAGGGCAGTTCTGCAGAGAAGATTTCTACAGAATTCAGCAGCCTGCATATCATGGAACATACTTCATTTCAGGTAAGTAATGCAACTAAAGCTTTCAGATTTAAAACCTGACCTGATAAAAGAAAACAAAATCCCCAAAGTCTGATTACCCACCCGCCCACACTGTACCGCACATCCCTGTCCCTTGTTTTTAATTATGGTGTTGAAATTATTAGTGCATGTTTAACCACTTGCCCTCCAGAGGATTTACCCCCCCTTCCTGACCAGGCCATTTTTTTGCCTAACGGCTCTGCGTTACTTTAACTGACAATTGTGCGGTCATACAACACCGCACCTAGATGAAATTTACGTCCTTTTTTTCCCCACAAATTGAGCTTTCTTTCGGTGCTATTTGATCACTTGTGCGTTTTTTTTGTTGTTTTTTTTCTTCGCAATAAGCAACAATTTTGAGAAAAAAAATATTGTGGACTTTTTGCTATTAAACATGTCAAGTAAAAAAATAAAAAAAGCTAATTTCATCATACATTTAGGCCAAAATGTATTCTGCTACATGTCTTTGCTAAAAAAAAAAAAAAAAAATCCCAACATGTGTAAATGAATTGGTTTACGTGAAAGCTATAACGTTTACAAATGGCAGTATAGATACTAGGATTTTCTTTTTTCCTACTAGTAATGGCGGTGATCAGCGACTTTAGCAGGACTACGGTGGGCATTCTGACACTGGGGGGAACTAACTTGGTGTCATTGACATCCTCAGTGACACCAATACAGTGATCAGTGCTAAAAAACATCACTGACACTGTACTAATGATACTGGGTAGAAAGGGGTTAATGTGAGGGGTGATCAAAGGGCTAACTGTGTGTAGGTAGTGTTTTTTTACTAGGGGGCGGGGTGTGCTTCACTGTAAGCACACTGATCGGGATGGCTGTGCTGACATCCTGAGCAGTGTGCCCGAGCTGACGGGAGAATACTGTTTATAAACAAAACAGTCTTCTTCCCCGTCGGTGATTGTCGGTAATCACCGGCCGGGACCCGGTGATTGACGTCTGCGGCCAAGACAGGGTTGAGTTTTAAACAAGAACTCCAGTCAAATACACATGTGCCAGATGTTTTGTTACTCTATTAGGAGCTCTGATTTACATACTTCTGTCACCATGCTGACAAATGGTGATACCATGTTCAGCTGAGCAGTGTCCTGTCATCTCCAGTTTTGCTCTTTTAAAAGTGTGGTAGAGATATCTATATAAGACTAGTTGAATAGGTTTGCAAGTCCTTTGATGAGAACGATGGTATGCACGTTTTTAATTGTTTGTGATCTGTGAAATATATAAAATTTACAATACATCAGCCCCTAGTTTGCTTTAATATACTCACCCTGGACCTTTTTTCCCAGCTCCACCCATCTGCTTCTCCAATTGTGATGAGTGGTGATGTCTTTCCTTAAATGTTACCTTTATTTTACCTTACCTGTAGAATTCAATTTTAGATGGCTTGCTCTTATGTTGTCAGTTAGCCATATACCTATTTCTCCAAATACAAGTATTCTGTTTGAGATCAGCTTCCAATTTTCTAACCAATGTCACATGATGGGACAAAACTAATCATACCAATCAAATTGCAGCAACTATAATTTGCTCTTGGTATACTTAACATCACCATGTCATGCTATGTCCTCATCCCATGGCTTCCAATACCATTTCTTCACTGATGATACCCAAATCTATCTCTCTACCCCTCAGCTCACTCCATCAGTCTCCACACACATCAATAATTTACTAACAGATATATCAGTCTGGATGTCACACCACTTCTTCAAACTCAATCTATTCCAATCCGAGCTCATAATATTTCCTCCCCACATGCCTCTTCCCCTGACTTCACTGTCGAGATTAATGGAACAACCATCAAACTGTCTCCGCCTACCAAGGTCCTAGGAGTTATCCCGGACTTTTAACTATCCTTTCAGGCCCACATCCAATCACTGTCCAAAGCTTGCCGCCTCAACCTCTGCAGCATCTCCAAAATACTCCCCTTCCTAACCAATGATACCACAAAGCTTCTGATTCACTCCCTGGTATTCTATCACCTCGACTACTGCAACTTCCTTCTCATTGGAATGTCTTTTATATAGGCTATCCTCCCTTCAGCCTATCCTGACTGCCAGACTCGTCCACCTTACCAACTGTTCAGTATCTGCTACTCCTCTCTGCCAATCCCTTCACTGGCTTTCCCTCACTCGACAAATTAAGTTTAAAATACTAACAATAACTTACAAAGCCATCCACAACGTGACCTCAAGCTACATCGCTAACCTAGTCTCAAAATACCAACCAAATCATTATTTTCGTTCCTCCCAAGACCTCCTGCTACATTGGGGAAAATAATTATTTGATTCTTTGCAGGTTTTGTAAGTTTGCCCACTTACAGAGAAATGAAAGGTCTATAATTCTTATCATAGGTGTATTTTAAATGATAGACAGAATATCAACCAGAAACCCTGAAAAAAACACATGATACAAATGTTATAGATTGAGTTGCAGTTCAGTGAGTAAAATAAGTATTTGATCCCTTACCAACCAACAATAATTCTGGCTCCCACAGACTGGTTGTGCTCATGTGGTACACAGATTAGTCCTGTCAATTTAAGAAGGTGCTCTTAATAACAACTCGATATGTGTATAAAAGACATCTGTCCACAGAATCTCTCTTGGGCACCACCATGGGCAAGACCAAAGAGCTGTCAAAGGATGTCAGGGACAAGATTGTAGCCCTGCACAAGGCTGGAGTGAGCTACAAGACCATCAGCAAGAAGCTTGGTGAAAAGGAGACAACTGTTAGAGCAATTATTTGCAAATGGAAGAAATACAAAAATAACCATCAATCGCCCTCGGTCTGGAGCTCCATGCAGGATTTTGCCTCTTGGGGTAAGGATGATCATGAGAAAAGCGAGGGATCAGCCCAGAACTACACGGGAGGAGCTTGTGAATGATCTCAAGGCAGTTGGGACCATAGTCCTCAAAAAGCATTGGTAACGCAATACGCCGTCATTTTTACTGAAATCCTGCAGTACCTTCAAGGTCCCCCTCCTCAAGAAGGCACATGTACAGGCCCATCTAAAGTTTACCAATGAACATCTAAATGATTCAGAGAAGGATTGGGAGAAAGTGATGTGGTCAGGTGAGATCAAAATTGAGCTCTTTGGCATTAACTCGACTCGCCATGTTTGGAGGAAGAAAAATGCTGACTATGACCCTAAGAACACCATCCCTACAGTCAAGCACGGAAGTGGAAACATTATTCTTTGAGGCTTTTTCTCTGCTACAGGCCGATTGTGCCACATTGAGGGGCATGTATTGTAAAATCTTGGATAAAAACCTTCTTCCCTCACCCAGAACACTGAACATGGGTTGTGGATGACTCTTCCAGCCTGACAATGACCCAAAACATACCGCCAAGGCAACAATGGAATGGCTCAAGAAAAAGCACATTAAGGTCATGGAGTGGCCTAGCCAGTCTCCAGACCTTAATCCTATATAACATTTATGGAGGAAGGCGAAACTTTGAGTTGCTAAGCAACATCCAAGAAACCTTAAGGATTTAGAGAAGATCTGTAAAGAAGAGTGGACCAAAATCCCTCCTGAGATATGTACAAACCGGGTAACCAACTACAAGAAACGTCTTA